TATAAAAGGAAGTTTGTTTAAATGTGGGTTGCATATGATACTAGTCCTAATCCAGGACGAACCAACTATCGCTCATAACTCGGGTTGATAAGCRTTGGGTTATGTTRGATAGGAAAATGTGTGRTTGGACGTTTAGTCTAGGGTTCTTGAATGTGTTTCTAGAACCTCAAAACGAACGGCTTAGTGCACATATGTAGCATCTTTGGTCTGGTTCCGGGTCTACGGGTTGTTGCGCATGTTCTTGTTTGATTGTTGCACGGCCAATCGGATCAACGTTGACCTAATCCGAGTTAGGGGTGTTACACCGGCCATAGCTCATAGAAGACCTTGTAGTTCCATATGAAGCGAAGATATGACTTGAGAACTACCTTCTAAATCCGGTAGGTTCGTTGTACCATCTGGAAGTTCCAAAGTCCAACCTATGCTACTAGTTAGTTCGCCATCTTTCCACGAACCATATACAAAACATAGGAATGTTGTGTATTCGGTTCCATGAGATTCTCAATCAATAGCAATCAATAGTCCATCTAATAAAACATTTTCTGTTCCACCAGTCTCATGGAAGAGTTTGACATTTTTAGCTTTCTAGACATACCCCATAACCACGGAAAAGATCAAACCGACTCTTCCAAAGTATTTTGGTTTGAAATATGCTAGTACATAGTCCAAATTAACCACGATTTCTTTATCAAGAACCCCATGAGAAAGTTTCTCAACTATTTAAGATACTCACTCATTAAATTATTATTAAAAAATTTTGGTCAAATTTATAACCCCATGGTAGAAACCCACCATCGAGGATGCTCTTAGGCCCTTAGGTCCATAATCAAACACCGGTTACATCTCAATTTTAATAGAATTGTACCTGTAAATGCATATTATTTTCTTGTCGACTACGGAAAACGAATTAGGGTTTTGGCCGGCGACCAACCATCAAATTCTTTCCCTTTTCGGTTTAATGAGATCTGAATAATTTCTCTTCTTGGTAACTAAAAAATGAGAAGGCAATGCGATTCCAAAATGATGGAGAATTTGGTTACAAAATTACCAAAGCGATAAGAATTGTGAAGCAACTAATGAGTCTTCCCATATATGTCTTCGATAGTGGTTGCTCTCGCTTTCTCTATGTTGACTTCGTCTGATTGTCTTTGGCATTTTTTTCCTCGTGGACCT